AATCCTATTCTTACCCAGTTTTAGCCCAAGTCCAATATTCCCATAACCGGTCCAATCCCCACTAACCCAAAACGACGCTGTATCACCATCTGTTAATCCCATCCGTTGGATTCTTTTGATCCAACGACTCGCAACTCCACCCCGTTTTCCTTTTAACTGTCCGAAGACAGACCCCCCTCCCCAAACCCTAAATCCATTTTTCACTCTTCATCTCCCAACCTCAGAGACTAAATCCTAGCCGCCCTTTCACCCCTCACCGTCTCTGCCCTTCTCCGCCGCCAGGAAATCGCCTTACGGTGGCCGAGCACCTCCGAACCACCTCAAATTCACACCCTGCACTCCCCATACTCCCTCAAACCTTAATATATCAACATTTTCACCAAAAACCCCATCAAATTTCTACCAATCTCAAATCTGAGATCTTTCCCAAACCCTAAGCCGCTTGAAATAACCCCAAAACCATACCAAACAACCCTTAGCCTTCCCTCACCACTATCCTACCACTAATTTTCCTAAAATCCCCGTCAACTTCCTCGAATACCAAATCTAAGAAAAAACAGAAACCCTAATTTTTTTCCCTTCTCGATTTTTCTTCGAGTTTTCAAGACTCGACTTGGATTGAGAACCTATGTTAGTTGGTCATTCTCAACAAGTACGATTGACTAACGTTATTTTCGATTTATCTCGAAGCTTCTCGGATTTGCCGGGCTCCTCTTAGGCCAGTTAGGTATACTTTCGTTCTTTCTTCCTCTTTTCTTCCTACTTTTCTCTGATTCTGCATGTGTTTGACTGTGTGTTTAGATTAATTAGTGTGTTGAATTCACTGTTAGGTTAATTCTGAAATTTGTTCGAACATGCTGAACTTTGTGATTAAAAAAAATAGTTTAACTATCTGTGAGTTAGTTTAATTGCATATCTTGTTTATATTGCACCAAGTTTAGATTAATTAGGATTAATTACTAGGTTTTATTGCATCATTATCCTTGTTCTTCATTTTGTTATTGTTTTCTGATATGTTTGCCTGTTTCAAATTCAGTTTTGTCTAGAGTTTAATTAGACGAACGTTTTGATTCAATAGGTTAGCTAGACTGTTTTGTTTAAATTCCAGTCGTTTAAGTTTTAATCGATTTTAAGATAATAATAAAGTTTTTAGGGATACAATTGAAAACAATTTAGGGATTTTATTGCTGGAATCTTCTAGAATATTCTATGAGGTTCCACAAATGGTTTTGAAATGAGAATTTAGGTCAGGACTGGTTAGAATTGAAATAATCAGTAATTGAAGGGTTAAAATTGGGTTTTACATTAGGTAAATATTAGAAGGTTCTAGTATTTGTACAGCTGTCTCCATTTCCAGCATGAAAAATGCTAGAATTGGGCTGAAAAAAGGACAGACAGCTGTCCAAAGATGCTGTACTATCTGACATTTCAGAAATTAGGGTAGACTATTCCATTTTTTATGCTATCTTTGTGCACTCTATATAAAGAATAGGCATTCACTCATCCACACACACATTCATCAGTACACAGACCTAAAATCTTCAAAAACAAAAAAAATCCAACTTCTAGCTTTTCCTATTTTTCTTCTCTTTACAAAACATAGAAGGAATTTTCTTTAAGTTTCTGGGTTTTTTGAGCTAAGATATAAGCTGATACTGAAGCTTTTGGTTGGTGTATACTGCTGTTTCTTCCTGGGCTGCTGAAATATCTGCTGTAACTTAGCGATTTTGGATCAGATTTTAAGCAACTAGGTACACATTTTACCCTATGTTTAAGTATTTATTGTCACACCTCTTTTTTTTCACACAACCCTATTACAAGGTTTAGTTAGAATAGTTTTTTCAATTAAAGTGACGTTTTGAAAAGGGATTATTTATTATTTAGAGTCGCCACTTGGAATTGAGTTTTGGTGTTCCAAGTCACCTTTTATTGAATCCCGTATCAAAAGGAAGATTTGACTCCTAATTTATGATCTACGAAACAGAAGACTGAGTAAGGAATTCTGTTGACCGAGCGAAAGGTGTAAGGCATCCCTCGAGTCCTGATGTTCTAGCACGGTCGCTTTATTGACTAATGTAAGGCTTAAATCAATTTTTGGTTATTCTTGTATTTTTATTTATTATGGCTTATTCATTATCGCTTAATTAAATATTATATTTTATTAATTATTTTGACCTAGATGCAGTACGCACACAAGGTATTTCTTTGAAGGTAGATGTTAAACCAAGGTACAGAATGTACACATGGTTAAAACATAATTATTTTTAAATTTAAAGGCATCGAGACGCGGGAATGCGTACATGATCCTTTTATTATTTAAGCATATCAATTCAAGGTTCGGGTATGAACACATGGGCTAATATAGTATTTAGAATATTTTAATTATTTTGTCTTAGGTTCGAGATATTTAATTGTGTACTTTATTATTATTATTTTATTACTTATTGCAACTAGTCTTTAATAAATTAATGGCTCATTTCGCTCCCTTGCAATAATTCATTTATTCTAATAATTTATTTTTTATAGCGAGTTTTGAATTAATTTGCAACCCGCATTTATCTATTAATAGGCCTTACAATGTGTCTAGACCCAATTAGTTATATTCTCTCTTGAATCTATTTTTGGTGAGAATGTGAAAGAAATATACTCAACAGCTTAATATGAAATATCCGATTAATTTAAAAAGGAAAGTACTTATAATAATAAAACAAAAAAAACAACAACAAAAAAAAATTATCCAAATGAAGTTCATAAAATGAAGATAAAACTCATGAAAATTCCAATTTATTCTTCAACATTGAAACAAAGAAGAAATCTATGTCCGTAGACTAATTTAAAATAGCTATTTATAATACTAAAATAACTTACAGTGGAGTTAAGGCATAAAGAAATTAATACAATTAATAAGTTTTTTTTAAAGGTATTCCTACTAAAATTAATACCTGAAACTTTAGTTTTCATGGCCAAGTAGTTAACTTATTCAAAGAAGAAAAACTTTTCTTTACATAAAAGAAACTTACTAAAATCTTATAAGGAAAAATTTATTATAGTTTATGGTCTATTCACAAGAATGACTGGAAAAACTTAACTCATTTCTAATGAACCTCATAGCACAATTTTGCGCATAATTAACTGACCAGTAAAGTACAACTAGGCAAACATAACATCACTATCGCCCTAGTAACCTTAAACTCTTATGAATCCCTTTTTTTTTTGTTTTTAATTCTTTCACTAAATAAACTAGTAAGTGATAATAATGATTCAGAAACACATGTCTTTGAATAAATTCAGAGCATTAGGATTTGGTTCCTTTTAGTGAAGAAGGATAGAATCAAAACCTTAGCAAAAGAGTTCCAGTAATACAAGAAAGAGAACCGGTACAACTCCAATCCCATACCGAAACTCAGGCCGGACAAAGTAGTAGCGTGTCGAACCCGAAGCCACGAACGAAAACTCGACCTCCTAATTACACGAGAATCTCTCAAACCTTTATCTAGAAAAACTTCTTTCCTTTTGTTTTTGAGTCTTCTCTGTTTCTTCCTCTCACTTTATGTGTTATTTTCCTTATTCAACGATCCCCCCTTGTTGTTTGTGAAGTGTGTTAGATATATAGGTAGGTGTGTACAAGATCGTGTGTGTGTGCAAGATCATGTGTGTGTGCGCATGATGTGAGACGTGATGGAGTTGGGGTGAGGGACGTGAGATGTGGGACTAGTGGTTAAATTAGGATCTTTTCCCTACTTTTTTTGTTAAGAGAAATAAACGAAAATATAAAGATAAGAATATTCATTATCTATTTTAGACCAATACAAATATATACTTGGACTATGATTTAAATGGTGCTAAAAATAAATTAAAAGTTACTAGTCTAGTTATTAAGTTCTTAATTAAACAAAAATATTTTTTTTATTTAAATATAGGAACAAAATGTATACTCTAAGAATATGCAAAAAAAAAAAAAATTGTAGCTTTTTAATATTTCTCAAATAAAACCAATGAAAAGATGAGATAAAAATTTAAAATATCAAGATTAGACCTAAAAGAAATATTTACATAAAAATAGAATAGAATTTGGGTGTGGTCAAAAATTACGTGTTCACATTTGTAAGTCGGATGTAAATACAAAAAATGCAAGTTGTTCCTGTCAATGATGTGTGTTTTTTCTTTTATGATGTGATTCATTCTCCTATGTAGGTCATGCCATAAGAACTCACGAAAGGGCCCATACAGTCTATCCCCACACATCAAATATCTCGACCTCCAATACAAAATTCATAGGCATCTCATGTCTTTTAGCTATTGACATTTGTCTTTGACATTGATCGCATGCCTTGGCCATTTGATTTGCATCTTGGTAGATTGATGGCCAATAATAGCCACATTCAAGCACCTTTCCAGCTGTCCTGTTTCCTCCATGGTGACCTCCAACCGGAAAATCATGGCATGCTTTGAGAATAGGCATTACATCATCTTCCGGAACACAACGCCGAATGATGTTGTCGGCACAAATTCGGAACAAAAAGGGTTCCTCCCGATAGTATTGCCTACATTCCCGCAATAACTTTTTCTTTTGATAAGTCTCCAATCCATCGGGAATAAGATCACTCACTAAGAAGTTAGTGATGTTGGCATACCAAGGAGTGAATGTGCTAGACAATGCTAATATGTTTTCATCCGAAAGCATCATTGATTTCAAGGTCTTCTTTTGGTCTCCCTGCCTCTTCAAGCCGAGATAGGTGATCCGCAACTTGATTTTCTATCCCTTTCCGATCCTTGACTTCAAAGTCAAACTCTTGCAACAAAAGGACCCACCGAATCAATCTTGGCTTGGCATCCTTCTTCGCCATAAGATAACGAGGAGCAGCATGATCAGTGTAAACTATCACTTTGGACCCCAACAAATAAGCCCGAAACTTTTCAAAAGAATAGACAATGGCAAGAAGCTCTTGCTCAGTCACAGCATAATTCATTTGAGCACCATTGAGTGTCTTTCTTGCATATTAGACAGGGTGAAGGATCTTGCTATGACGTTGTCCAAGCACCGACCCAATAGCTACACCACGAGCGTCACACATGAGTTGAAATGGAAGAGACCAATCAGGTGTGACAATAATAGGTGTCGTGGTGAGCTTTTCTTTCAATTCCTCAAAGGCTTTGAGACACTTCTCATCAAATATGAACTTTGCATCTTTTTCTAGGAGTTTGCACATGGGATTTACAATTTTGTAGAAGTCCTTGATGAAACACCTATAGAAGTTGGCGTGCCCCAAAAAACTTCGGACACCTTTTACTGAAGTAGGTGGAGGAAGCTTGGAGATGATCTCGATATTTGCCCGGTCAACCTCTATGCCTTGTTTGGAAATTTTGTGGCCCAAAACAATACCCTCGTCCACCATGAAGTGACATTTCTCCCAATTTAGCACAAGGTTCGTTTCTTCACATCTTTTGAGCACTTGTCTAAGGTTGTCAAGACAATGCTCAAAGGAACCCACTACAGAGAAGTCGTCCATAAACACCTCTAAGAAATCTTCCACCATGTCTGAGAAGATTGATATCATGCAACTTTGGAAAGTAGCCGGAGTGTTGCATAGCCCAAATGGCATACGGCTAAATGCAAATGTCCCATATGGACATGTGTATGTTGTCTTTTCTTGATCTTCCAATGCAATATTGATTTGGTTATAGCCAGAATATCCATCCAAGAAGCAATAGAATGGCCTTCCCGCTAGCCGATCAACCATTTGATCAATAGAAGGCATAGAGAAATGGTCCTTTCACGTAGCACTGTTTAGCTTCCGGTAGTCCATGCAAACCCTCCATACGGTCAATGTTCTCGTTGGGATGAGCTCATTTCTATCGTTTTCAATCACGGTCATGCCTCATTTCTTCGGCACACATTGCAGTGGACTCACTCAAGAACTATCGGCAATGGGGTAGACTACCCCGACATCTAACCACTTGATGATTTCTTTCCTTACCACCTCTTGCATGGAAGGGTTTAACCTTCGTTGATGCTCCACACTTGGTTTACTCTCATGCTCCAACTGTATCTTGTGTTCACAAATTCTGGCAGGAATCCCTCGGATGTCCGTTGTTATCCACCCAATAGCTTGCCTATGCTCCTTCAAGACATTCAACAGTTGTTCTACCTGCACATCATTCAACAAAGAAGAAACGATTACAGGTGGAGTGTCATTAGAGCCAAGAAATTTATACCTCAAGTGCGGTGGAAGTGGTTTGAGCTCAAGTTTCTGCGGCTCAATAATTAAAGGCTTGGCGGGAGGAGTGACTCTATTCTCTAAGTCAAGAGAGACTTTCTTAGGAGCATAAGTGTAGAACCCAAGTCCTTCTAGTGTATTCACTGATTCCATGTATCCCTCCATGTCTTCACCATCAAAATTTACCAAAATAGCCGCCAAAGCCTCACCAAGGCATTGTTCTTCCATCTTCATGTCAATTGCGTCTTCCACCTCATCAACAACATGAATGACCGAAATGCTTTCATATGCATTTGGCAACTTCATACCCTTGCTTACTTGGAATGTGACCTCTTCATCATTGACTCGGAACTTAACCTCATTTTGTTCCGAATCCATAAGTGCCCTTCCGGTAGCAAGGAATGGTCTTCCCAGGATGATATGTATCTCTTTGTCAACCGCACAATCAAGGATCACGAAGTTGGTGGGTAGATGGAACTTTCCCACTTTCACAAGCACATCATCAACAATTTCCACCAGTCTCTTTATAGAATGATCGGCCATTTTCAGTCTCATACATAAGGGCCTCGGCATACCTAACATGCTTGCTTGTAAATAGCAAGAGGCATTAAGTTGATGCTAGCCCCATTATCACAAAGAGCTCTTGCAAAATCGCGCGCCCCAATAGTGCATGGAATGGTGAAAGCTCCCAGGTCTTCTTTCTTTTGAACGGTGGTTGTTGCAATGATGGAACTAACCCGGTGAGTCACACTCACCACTTCATTCTTGGTGGCTTTCTTTTTGGTGATCAAGTCTTTCAAATACTTAGCAAAACCCAGCATCTCTTGAAATGCTTCCACAAATGGAATATTTACCGATAATTGTTTGAGAATGTCATAGAATTTCTCGAGTTTGATATCATCAACCCTCCTAGCAAGTCTTTGAGGAAGGGGAGGAGGAGGTCTAGGAAGTGGTGCTAGAGTTTTTGGCGTCTCTTTCACCTTTTCCTTAACCTCTTCTTGGTTCACTTCTTGAACTTTCCATTCTTCGGGGACCTTTTTAGCTTCAACAACAATTGGAGCTTCAACTTGTGCCTCAACTTCTTGTTCGGAATCCTCCACTTCAACCACTTTTTCACTCTCTCCTTGAAGTACTTTACCACTCCGAGTAGTAATTGCCATGCAATGAGAAGTTGGACCACCCCCACTACCGTTTGGGTTTGCAATTGTGTCACTTGGGAGTGTCCCCTTTTGCTTTGGATTTTGTTCTCTAGAGAGATCTCTCATTTGCATCTCCAACTTTTGAATGGATGTAGTATGAGAGGCGACAAGCTCGATCATATTCCTCATTGAGGTGTCGGACCTATCTTTATTTCGCAATACCCGTTCAAGCATGTTTTCCAACTTGGAGATCAATTGAGGAACCTTGATTTGAATATTGCCCCTTTGATGGAACATAAGGGTTTGAACTCCGATTTGAGAAGTTTTTGTTGTTGTTACTCCAATTCCCTTGCTTTGATCTACCTTGATCATTTCGCCGCTGTTGGTTGCCTTACCCTTGCAGGTTAGGCCTTCATTGATTTTGTTATCCTTGACCTTGGTATTGTTGCCTTTGATAGCCTCCTTGATAGTTGTTGACAAAGTTTGCTTCCTCATAATCTTCATTTTATGTGGGTTGAGCATCTTCCACCACATTTACCTTTTTCGTCTGACATTCAGTGAACATCTTTGTCAACACATTGACATTGGTGGCAAGCCATGCAATTACTTGATCTCTTTCTTGGTTCTCCTTAATCATGTTGATCAAGGAGGAAGTACCATATGCAATTCCACATGTGGTGTCCTCTGACTGCCAAACTTGGTTATTTTTAGTAATTTTGTCTAGGATTTGTGTGATCCTTGCAAATGTCTTATCCATAAAAGATCTATCAGCTGCATTCTTGGTTATAGATAGGTTCAGCATCCAAACCCATGTAGAATTTCTCCAACAAGATAGAATCTGGAAAACCATGATTAGGCGACCTCACCAAATATAACTTGAATCGATTCCATGCCTCATGTAGAGTTCTCCCGGTAGTTGCTTGAAAAAGAAAATTTTATCTCGGAGCTCAGATTTCTTGCTTTGCGGGAACCATTTGGCTATGAATGCTCGGACAAGTTCAGGCCAAGAATGGATTGAGTTTGGTGGTAGATTTTGAATCCATTTCCTCGCCTCTCTAGTCAATGAGTATTTGAACACCCTCAATCTTAGGGCATCATCTGAGACGTTGTTCTGCTTGTGCATTGCACACATACCCAAGAAGTTTCTGAGATGTTGTGTCGGATAATCATCAGTGGAATACCTGAAAAACCCCTCCGCTTTGAGAATGCAGCGTGAACTCTCGGAGGTACAATAACATTTGTATCCTCAATGTACTCATCTATGTCCAGAAAAGGATTTTCTTCTTCCTCATATTTGACCATGTTTTCCTATGAACACCAAGCAAAACAAGAAAAGTGTGATGGAATAGAAGAAGACGTAAAGTAAAGCACACACTAATTAGTAATTTCACAACCGTATTCCCCGACAACGGCGACAAAATTTGACACGCCCAAATTACACTTTAAATAAATAGTGTAAGGCGGCTGGTGTCAAATATAATAACCTAACAAGGTTGGGGACGAATCCCACAGGGAATAGGCGTAAAAAGGTTACTCGAGTAGTGTGTCACTTGACTTAGGTCGTATTTCTATTCCTTTAACGTAACAAGAGAATGGTATAGTTGTGAATTAAGAAGATAACTAATTTTTTAATGAGAATGTGAATGATTTGATTAAGGAAACCGAGGTTGTGTCCCCATCAATGAAATGTAATGCTATCGGTGTTAATATGATATATTTCTAATGGAAGGTCCATTGATGTAAAAATGATTTCTAAATGACTACCCAGTATTTTCCAATAGTTGGTTAGTATTTTCCCTTTATGATTTTCCCAAATATAAAAGAGTTATAATTTAAGAATAACCAATTTATGCCAAGTAGAACCCACTTATTCCTAAGTGATTCTATTAAACAAGATTTAAAGTCTTGAGTTCTTGATATTCAATTCTACCAAACCCTAACCCACTTTTCCAAGTAAAGAAAGAGTAAAATGGAATAGATTAATGTTTGCAACCACCAAACATAAATAAAGAACAAGAATTGAATAAATATCAACCAACCATTATATATATATATTCAATGTTAAAACACCCATTAACATTACACCCATCTAGGGTCCACAACCTTAGTATTTAAAACTAGCTACTCATGCTAAAATACAATAACAAAGTATTTAGTAAGGCCATAAAGCTTACAAAAGTGCAAGATTCGTTCTTCACAAGCTTTCAAATTAATAGAGTATTCAATGCTCTCTATGTAGGACCTTTTTCAGACTTGAATGACCCACAAAAACCCTAGTTATTCTTTTTATAGTGGACCAAAAGTCGTGGTCAAAATCGTATAAAAATGCCCCTTCAGACAGCTTATGCGACCGCATAATGGCCGCAGACCACGTATGCGGTCCGCATAATCCCCATTCACATCGCAGACTTGTAAGTCACCGTTTCCAGCTTCCGCCGCATATCGATTATGCGGTCCGCATATGTGTTATGCGACCGCATATGCCATCGCAAATCATGTTGAGAAGCTTCTTCTACTGGGATTATGCGATCATTATGCGGCTCGTAAAAGTGTTATGCGACCGCATAATGGACCGCATATTCTTCTCTTCAATTGGCCAAAATGTCTGCTTCAGTTTGCGATCTACATCTGACTTATGCGGTCGCATACTTGTAGCATTTCCATCCTTTTGTGACTTTTTGACTTCTTTTCCATGTTTTGGGTCTTCAAGCTCATGCACTACAAAACAACCAAACTTGATAAGAATTAACTAAAAATGCATTAAAAGACGAGTTAAAATCTAAGTAATTGGTACAAATGTGCCGAAATTCTACGGCACATCACACACCACATTTGTTAGGTTTTGAGATTTTTAAATTATTGTTTCAGTTATTTTCGCATATTTGTTAGGCTTACCTAGTATTAGAGAGTAGGTGCCGTCTTGACATCCTACGAAGGAAAACTGAAGGCGTGACGGAAGTAAAATATCATATTAAGGCCAAAGAAACTGATCACAACTGGTCCCTATTGGTTCCTCAAGAACATTTTACCAACATCAAA